TAACTAAAACTTATTAGCTAGCACTCAGTCATTGTTTATTAATTAGATCAACCTATGAAAATAATAGATAAATACAACCAAATCAATTGAATGAATTATTGTTACGAGGACTAATAGAAACTTATTGTTCAAGGTATGAATGGTGTAAGCTTCATGCCTCTTGCTAATTTATTTAAAAAAATTAGAAAGAAGAAAAAATAGTACTAGTTTTAATATAAATGGCATTAACAGCTAGACTACTAATATATATTTTTTAATATAAATAAAAAAATAAATTGACCCAAAAAAAGAAAAGAAAATTAAGAAGATGACAAACTTTGTTTTCTTTTTAGTTAAGAAAAAACAGATAAGAATGTGTCTATAGATATTTACAACAAAATGATGTGAACTTTGCCATTTTTTTTTTTATTTAAGTGTGTAAATTTTGCTAGTTTCTAAATAAGATAATAAATTTTTAATTTTTTCTATTTAAAAATGTTAACTTTGTATTTTTTTTCGATTGAAGGATTAATTAGATGGTTAAAATAGTTGTTTTCCATGTCAACATCACCATTCAATTAATATTTAAATAGAAAAAAAATGAAAATTTGGTATTATTAAATAAAAAAAAGTTAAAAGTTTATCACATTATTTAAAACATGTAAAGTGTGCATCCTTAAATAGAAAAAATAGTGAAATGCATATCCTTATCTACACATTTTTGTGGAAAAACATTGAAAGGCCAAGAAAGAAGGGGAAATTACATTTTAGCTTTTTGAAGTTTAGGCTTGGTGCAAAGAAAGACCTGAGATTTTAAAATGTGCATATAATATATTTATAATTTGAAGTGGATACACATAAAGATTTGAGATTTCAAAATGTTTAAATAAGGACATGAGGTTTGTATTAGACTTACATAACCATTTGATGTTACATGAAATTGTCCTAAATACCCTTATTTTTCTTTTCCTTTCATTCTCTTAAGTTAGGGGTTTTTATGAAATTTCAAGTAATTATTTGCACCTAATGCAAACCTCAGGTGTTTATCTGTATATTTTGATATTTTGAGGCTTTATCTACACATACCCAAAACCATAAATATAGTATGCACATAATTTTAAACCTCAAGTCTTTATGTGCAATTTGCTCAAACCACAAGTAGCTAAATCTCAATTTTCCCAATAAAGAAATGGATGCTTAGAGATGGCAATGTTTCTTTCCATAGAGACTGAGATATTTAGGGGAGAAACCATAAAAGGAAAGGATTTTGTGAGGGAAAAAGGAGAAG